CCAGCGAGCGTGAACTTCCCACTCGGATCGCATATCGTGCTCAGATTCGGATGAATTAAGTGAAGCATAATTGAAAATAATTTATTTATCAAAAAATCGGGAATTCTAATCAAGAAACGTGTGGAAATTGGAGTGACACTTGTGTTATTTCTTGGAAGAAAAGCCTCAATTTTACGTGGTATAACAATGGCGACAATTCGTAATTCCAGACCTCCGTTGTCTCTCACAATTGTGTTGAACAGACAACATCGATGATTAAAAAAAATACATAAAGATGGATAATTTCAGCCAGAAAAACTATTATTGCTCGAACATAGTAGCGTAAGTATCTTGACTCGTAACAGTTGTTGTACTTAACCGGAAAACAACAGAAACGAAAGACAAGCAATGAGAATAATCAACCCCATGTTTAATTTACCGGGACTGAACAGGGTTTTATAAAGTTGCTGATTACTGGGCCAAGCAAAGAAACAGAAAACTCAGTATTTCTGTAGGACATTTGCAATACTAAACATGCAGTGAAATAATTGTATACAGATTGTACATAAAATAAATAGAAAAAAAGGAAAAAACTGGTTTTGTTTTATTTCCCCATATGACAAACAATATGTTAATTTATGCTAATTATTATGCAAATTAGCCGCGACTCTATGAAAACTTTCTGGGGAGGACACTGTGTTTGCGTAATTATTACGAATGCAACGCAGTATCAAGTCGGTGATATTGAAATATTCACAGACCCAATACCCCGTGTCAGTGCCCTAACAATAGTTGAAAAAAAAACTACTAGTAATTATCATGAAAGCAATACATTACAAATTTGAAATATTCAGAGCCGGTACAATATTGTAAACAAATTTGCGTAATTAGAAAAGCAGTGCACTAAGTAAACGACGTTGATATATTCAAAGCCAGTACGTACAGAGTTGCATACAAGTTGGTGATCACTCAGTTGTCACAGCGTGTGTTGTGTCATGTCCATGATGCACCCCGTTTCGACTTTGGCTTGCTTTTCCTTCTTAGTGCATGTTCACGTAATATGCGACCTCTCATCAATGTATTAAAACACTTTGAATTTATACTTTGCATGATTATATTTGGTCAACGCGAAACATTATTTTTTCTAAACATTTTCTGAAACTATTTTTATCAATGCAGGGTTATTTTTCTAGACCAGATGGGCTTCGTAATATCTGCCAAAACATCGCCCGGGTGATGCCTAGAAAAATAAAAAAAGGCAGTGCAGCCAGACGGCTACTTTGTAGTCACGTGTTCATTGTTTGTTTGTGTACAGAGTGACATTTGCCATTTCACTGTTTCATTTCAAGTGTAACATGGTGCGTGTTCTCTGCCCGACTATAAACGCCATGAATGTCGCTAGCCACGAGTAACAGAGGCACTAAAACACCGTCCTGTAATCGTGTTCATTGAAAAACAAAACAAATCACTAACGAATTTATGAAAACAGCTTCTTTTTGAATCGATCTAAAAGTACTCTTTTAATTCGCACAAAAAAAACAATAATTTCCGTTTTAACGCTACTAGTTGGTGCACTTGAAAAAATAATTATTTTTACTACCGCGAATTAATCGAGTTTTTACGGTACTTTATATTAAAAAGTTCAGAACTGTTAAACTCATTGATTTAAAATGTACATTATATGTTGCCTATATATTTACTAAAATCTTTTATAATAATTGATTCAATGTTGTAGTTGGAGATGTGCAGATGCTACATTCATATAACAGACTGCCATCTCTATCAACTTCTGAAGAGCTGTATTTGTTTTTCTTCATAGGCAAGACATGATTTTTCAGATGAAGAACTTGATGAAGATGTGCTGTTAGGCATAAGTGACAATGAGGAAGACGTATTAAATGCAAGTGGTGATGATGGACAAGATATTTTTGATAATTTCAGGTATTCACATCAGTTCATTCACATTTTTTCAAATGAGACTTGTTAAAAATAAACACTTGAGCAATCTATGGAAATTTTATTTGTTCTCGTCTAGTTAATCACAAGAAGGATCTTGACAAGCCATAGTGCAAGCATATTGTTGTTCCTAAAACAGACATTATCAAAATTTTGCCTTTTCAGCAAAACTGAACCTGTAGATGGTGTTGATATACTTTTAAATGAAGACATATCAAACTTAGATGGTGATGTTTTGGATATCGGTATTGACAACACAGATATCTTGGATGAAGATGTGTCCACTCAAGTATATGATTCAGAAGAAACGTTTGTTGATACAACTGAAACACAAGCAGTGGTACCAGAAATTAAGGAGGAATTACCAGAACAGGTAAAGATTTATATTTTTATACACTGATTCTAGTCACAATTGACATTTGAGTATCACGCATGTCCAAAGTAACACTCATTTATACTCATGCTTTTTACATGACAGGAAGTGGAAACGGAACTTGATGACACACTGGAAGATGAAAACCAAGTGTTAGATGATTCCCTTCTTGAAAGCAGTGAAAGTGAAGGTGACGATGACGATACCCGTACACGTTTCAAGTCAGAAAGACAGGACTCTGCAGTAGTGGTGTCTACAAGTACTGCTGGACGAAAGCGAGATATACCTGATACACTCGGTAAGGTCACATGGGAATGATCCTAATGCTACATTAATAATGTTTTGTTTTAGCTGTACTTTGGCATATACTGCTGATGTCATGGCATATACTGCTGATGTCATGGCATATACTGCTGATGTCATGGCATATACTGCTGGTGACATGGCATATGCTGCTGGTGACATGGCATATATTGCTGGTGACATGGCATATACTGCTGATGTCATCGCATATACTGCTGATGTCATCGCATATATTGCTGATGTCATGGCAATGCTAGAATGTATTTGGTTACTTCAGGTGAAGTTTGTTTTATAAATCATGTACATTACCTAGATGTTTTGACCTGTAATTATTTTTGTACAATGAACTGCATATTATTGAGCAAGTGTTGGAAATCGATCAATATTGTTCAAGCAATCTACGATATTTCAGATAACATTACATATGTTTTTCAATTAGAAATAGCTTAAATTCATTCCTGTTTGAGATACAAAATTTAGTATATCTGCAATGGAGATAATAAATTGCATACTGAACTTTGAAATATGTATTGCCTTTTGTAGAGGTGAGTGCCGAAGTTCAAGCAAGTATTGATGAGTTTGACCAGAAATTAAAGCAAAAGAAACAGAGAAATCATCGAGGGGGTTACTGCAATCGTCAGTATCAAGGTAATGGAAGAGGAATGGGTATGCAGCAACACAGACCCATGCAGCTTGGTTTGTCACAGGGACCAGCTGGAATACAGCTGCAACACAGGCCGATTGGGATGCAACAACAACGCCCACAGAACAGTGGCTCTTTACAACCGAAGAAAATTCATATTAATCCACATTTTAAAGGCACAGTGAATGTCAGACCTGACAGTAAGAAGAATTTATGTTGTTTTAATTGTATTGTTTTGTGTGTTGGTTAAGTTGATGGATTGGGTTTGTGGGTGGGTGTGGGTTCGTGGGTGGGTGTAGGTTCGGGTGTGTCTGTGAGGTATGCACACTCAGATGTAGTTTATATTTATAGTACCTGGATAGAGTGGACTGCCCATTTAAAATACTCTTCCCATACATGTTTGTGGTTGGTTTTCATAGTGTGTTTCTGCAGATCTTATCAGCCAATTTGCATACTTTTATTTGCTTCCATTGGATATACACACCTTTGTGGGTAGTTAATTGAATACAACGTTTATGAGTAAACATTGTAAGTATGGCTGACCATGTGATGAAATGTGATGAAGTTAAAATGAAAATACCATTTCAATTAGGTGATATGGGTAGGTAATTCACTGGAAAGCTGCTGTCTGTCTTATTTCCACAGCTACAAAGCAAACTAACTGGTATTTAATTTAAAGTCGTCCAATCATTTGCTGCCACCTGACTGTGTCAGACTTCAGTTGTCTGCATTTGAAATCCAAATTACCTTGGTTTGGGATGAATGTGTTAGATTTAGATTGTCTGCATTATTATCAAAACTAACATGACTGTGTTGGTCATTTTGCATATGACTTGTCTCCACTGCACTGCCAGAATTCTGTTGGTCAATAATTTTTAATGAAGCCATGTTGCATAAAAAGCAATTCTAGAAAATGACAGATACAAGCTCTGACGTGACAGCAACATGCATTAAGATAACAGTAAAATACTTTGACATGATGGCAACATGTAATGAACTGAAAAAATGATCTTATTACAGAATCATTCTAAGATTAGATCTGTAAAAAGCCATCATCTTCATGTGTTCACTCATACTAATCTGGGGTAGCTACATTTACATGAACTACAAGGCAGAAGATAAATCTACCTGTGTGCAGCATGGTGTCAAGACATCATAAAAATAGTGCTGGTCAATAATGGTGATAACAGTCCACCAATCAAAAGTTCTATTCAGACTGGCAACATATCACACACAAAAACATTTATTCATGGTCAAACAAATGTTGATTTCTATTCAATAAGGCAAATAATTGTAATACCGGTATACAAAAACAAATTTCATTGATTTGTCATGAAATGTATGAAAATAGCAACTTAAAAATATCATCTGACCTGTTGTGTCTAGTTATTAAGTGATTGGAATAAGTATGGTCTGTACTGACAACAGTTTCTGGAAATTTCTGAATATTGGTGAAGACCAAGACTGCAATGTGGAAGTGCTTTATCAAAGCTGAATAAAGACAACTTTGTGTTCCTTTGTGTAGTGGAAATGCTGGAATTGGTAATTGTTAAAGATGAAATAGTTAAGCTTTAACGATGAATGTTAAATTCTAATTTCTTCATTTATGCTCGACACAAGTATTCCTGACTAAGCCAGTGACTGAAAAATTGTTCTGGTTTAGATGCCAGGAACAATTGAAACATCCCATTAAAAATTATACCTTAATTATTCATAAACACATTAAATTTTGCTCAAAATAAAAGAATTGTCTGATAATTAGGTTATTATTACTTGTTTGACACTGCCTTGACTTTTCAAAAGAAATAACCAACATCAAGATAAAACACAAGGCATATCATGTGCAATACTATCGTACTCTGCCGCATTAGTGCCCATGCCTGGTCATGCGTCCACTCCCCACTTTTGTGCAATTTTTATATTCAGGGTCACATTCGGCGAATCACCCACCCCTTTAAAATGCCACTAATTTAAAACTTGGTCTTTAATCATTGCTCAACGAATACTGGAAATCGTTTTTATATCATGATACAGCATGGATATCAACTGCCGTGAATATGTTGTGAATGCGTAGACCACAGTAACCATGCATAAACTACGCTTCGCAATGACCTGTTAATAAAAGTAAAATACGGTAAATATTCCATGCCATATTCATGTCACTGCCAGTTACCAGTTAAAAAAAAAAAACATGTCGTTTATTCGCCGAAATCAATTACAACAGATCGTACTTCGACATTGATAATTCACTTCTGCTTTGCGCTACGAGAAAGAGTCGGGAATTTCCAAAGAATTGCGGTGGTACAACACTGCATTCTGATTAGTTAATAACAGACTTGGCCCATTAGATCAAAGAACGTTGTTGCAAGTCAAATCATGCGAATACATCATGGCGGAAAAATGCTTTCCATCGAGAGTTTGTGTACGATCAAACACATTTGTCGAATATTTTAATCTTGTAAATTTGAGTGGTACGTAATTAATATTGTAATAAAAATTGCATATTTTTTGTGACCATTCTTCATTGTAAAAGTCAATGACGATGCAACTAATTTCGTTATTTTATTTTCCTTCAAAGACGTAATATTTCCCTCAATCTGTCACATGGTGAATTAAAATTGTCATTGGCACTCTTTTCCAAAGGGGTGCTCTGGCGAGCGCCCACCCCTAAAAACTCGTGATTTTCTGAGTTCAGGACCCTGGGCGCGAGGGTCTATTTAAATCTCCATAAACCAAAATTTGCAAATATTCCTTTTGGTGGGGGTTGGGGTGACTGACTGTTCAACTCTGTGACTAATCTTAGCGTGTACCATGCCAGCACTACTCTGATTTTGTTTATATACAGATGAAGTTTAATCTGTCTGTTCTTACAGTGCTTCAACAAACACATTTGGCCATGATTGAATGGATTAATGTCTTTAAGAATAAACAGACACACCCAACCATAAATTGTTTAACATATGTCTCAATTTAAGGAATTAAAAAAAAACACAAAACAAATGACTGGCATTCAGGGGGGCGCACAATCTACAAAAACAAAACAATTAATTGACAAGTACATTACATCATAGAGCCTAAAAAGGAAAGATAAGAAACAATGACGAAAAAGTAATACTGTAAAATACTGAAATAATTTTCGCTTACCGGATTCTGTCGTAAATTCGCCCATATGGAAAGTTGCCCTGGTCGATTTCATAGCTGGTGGGTCTTTATTTCGGGTTAAAAATTTCAAAAAAATATCATCAAAGGCCTTCAGATCTGGCTGTACTAGGATAGTGGAAGTAATGGTACAGCATTATAACAGTGAATAAAGCCACGCTGTGTGGCGTGGATGGGTTTCATGTTCTCTGCACGTAATAAGCTTAGTTATTAAGCATCCTTTTTGGGGGATGTCCCATGGCCGAGGGGAAGACGTGTAGTGGTGTGAAGCTAGGCGATTAGGTGCCGTACACGAGCACCAATTCGAGTCATGCACGCAGTACATGTTTACTATAATTTGACGTAGTATTCACCTTGCCGTTTATTCGGTGTTATTTGCTTACTTTACTTCCTATGTCGACAGCAACTATGAATAACCAATCAAAATGATGGATGATGTCAACGTGTTCAAATTACTATAGCTCATTTATGAATGAATGAATGAGTTTATTCACAACAAATAAACAATTAAAAACCAGTATTACCAGTACATTGCTGATAGAATATAAGGAATTTGTGGTGGGCATCCCTGAAATAGTTCTACTGAACTAGTCGGGTCAGTGACCCATTTAATGGTAAACAAACAAGCAAGTGATAATAATCAATAAATAAATAAATAATATGTACAAGAAGGCACTGCTTTCATAACAGTAAATGCAAAAGGAAAAAAGCCTTTGCCTAATAAATAACACAATTATTTGTCAGTAATACTGATAAGAAACAGTTGACAGATGATAATACATTGTAATAATAAAATAATATCGTAAGAATGAATAGAATGAAAATTAATTCCAGCTAAAATAAAGTATTTTACAGTAGTTTATTTTTGTATGATGTTGCTTTGTATACGTAATTAGCAAAAGCATTCCACAGACTTCCAGATGACATCACAGTGCAGACACTGAGCAAATACTTCATTAAAACTGTTGCGTCACCAGTCTTGCTTTTGTTACTCTTGTTTTAAGGTCTATGATTACACATTTTAGTCAAATTGGTTATACAATGTCAGTGTTCTCCACAATCCAAAATAGCGTATGGGCGGTCCAATTAGCATACATAAATCCATATCATTTACATATTGCATATTGCATTTATGTCATGAACTGCAATACACACTATTATTTACTATTCTTTTTTTAATTTAATTGAAACATGTTACAATCTTTTGAAATACAGATTGATATTGATAAATCTGTGATTTATACGTTCTCAAATTATTCTGCGTTCATGAAATGCAATTCGAGTAACGAAGAGCAAGTACAAAACATAATTGAGTTATAATGTAGAAAGTATACGAGGTGATTTGACCAGAAGCCGAAACAGACGATTTGTCAAAATAAAACCCATAACATTTTTATTTGTGGCATCAGTACTCGCCCGTGTCGACGGATGGTACGATACATTTAAGCATTGCGTTTTCACACGTTGTTTTGATATTCAAGAAAAAATGCTAGCAATCGGCAAAATAAAAGAATCTGCTTACAGCTATGTTCTCGAAAGATTCAACATAAACAATTGAAAAAAGTATGTGGAAAAGATAACTAAAATATGTACATGTATTTAATTACAAATACTCATGGTAAACTAATCCGGCAGCCATGTTTGATGTTTTTTACCGCTTTCCGAATTCAGTACACGAACACCCAGAATGCGCTGTTCCCCTATGCAACTTAGATACTAAATCGTTATGGCGCCAACAGCGGTGGGTAGCAGACGGTCGTTGAATGGGGTAGGCTAAAAGGTCACCAATTTGCCTTCTCCATGCTGTTTTCACAATGAAAATCGAGCGAACGTTGTAAATACGGCTAGTATTTTTGTTCGAGTTTACATGCAATCTGCTAATATATTTGTTTATTTTCTGTGTATATATATTTCGTTTGTATTTTCTTCCTTTCGTGATCGGAAGACGATTATTAAAAATACAGCTGTAAACCACTGTAGTTGCGTATTGTAAGCAATAAGTGGCAACAATGTCGGGCGACAATGAATTCAGGCGATTGAC